CTATACCCATCTGTCCGTTGTTCCCTAGCCATTCATGTCCGGTTTACCATATACCCATCTGTCCGTTGTTCCCTAGCCATTCATGTCCGGTTTATCCTTTACCCATATATATATATCTGTTGTTCCCTAGCCATTCATGTCCGGTTTACCCTATACCCATCTGTCCGTTGTTCCCTAGCAATTCATGTCCGATCTACCCTATACCCATCTGTCCGTTGTTCCCTAGCAATTCATGTCCGATCTACCCTATACCCATCTGTCCGTTTTTCCCTAGCCATTCATGTCCGATCTACCCTATGCCCATCTGTCCGTTGTTCCCTAGCCATTCATGTCCGATTTATACTATACCCATCTGTCCGTTGTTCCCTAGCCATGCATGTCCGATTTACCCTATACCCATCTGTCCGGTGTAGTCTAACAAATCATGTCAAGATTACCTTATCCTCAACTGTCTGGTGTATCCTTACCATTCAATCCACATTACCTTATATCCAACTGTCCATTGTAGCCCAACCATTCATGTCCTGTTTACCCTAGTACATTCATGTCCTGTTTATCCTATAACCCATATGTCCTATGTGTACCCTATTCAGTCCTTTCCTTTTTACCATTATTCATGTCCTGTCTACCCTAGCCAGTCCTGTTCTAATTACCTGTACGATCACCTAGGTCTGTGTGTTGTACACATGATTTACCTGTTCGGATTGGGTTGGGATCACATCGGTAGTACTTTGGCCAATGAACACCGTGGTCAACCCAGTCCAGGTACCAACACGTGCTGTAGATAACTTGATGACCTCGATCTATGGCCTGTTGGACTTCCCGTATACTGCCCAACCAAATCTGGATAATCGTGTCTTTTGGAATCTGGACGAGATATGAACAAATAATTTAGAATGTAACGACTTTCAATGAAGTTTCACCTACTGAAGCGGAGCTGTCCTAGTTTCTATGAAACTGCGGTTGTATCTCGATAAATCCTACTTTTTTATCACAAGCAAAAAGTGCTAGTGAATCGACCGGCACCGGTCATTTACACTCTTTGCTTTTCAAAGGAAACAGTTTTTGAAAGCTCGCAAAATAAGTTTTCAATTACTGTTTGTGTTCGAGACAATCTAAGCATTGATTATGCCTACCAAACTGATGAATTTCATTCCATTTTTGTCTCTACTAATCCTGGACGTAATACATAAATGTACCGAAACAACCTCTCAACACGTCTTTTCTCTTCTTGTTGATGACATCACCTACTTTCAATTTATTTCGCATGGCCTCCTCCCACATAATGAAGCGTTTTTCCCGGCCTTGTTCCCGAGAGATATTTTTAAGGTTGTCGGTAAACCTAAAATAACAAATCGAGACACTTTTGTCATTGGTACACATGGTCAAGAGTCAAAACATAGTACATTTCGACAAGAATCACATTTATTTATTACCAAAAGATCAGGCCCAATCTTCACGTAAATGGTCATCCATTCTGTACACCTTAAAACTGAAAGTCACACTACAGACTATAGCACATTGAAATAAGAACAGAAATTAGTTTTAATTGTCATACGGGTATAAACTGTAAGGGGATTTAAACATGGTCCATGACGCTGTATTGTAATTTTGTATGTAAGCTAATGTAGTTCCAATTAATTACTTTTACTAAAAACTTTCATTCTAAGTTTAAAGAAAACGTGCTCTCAAGCTTTCTATGGGATTGCGCGTGTGTATGTTCGTTCTGGGAGATTCCGCCGATCCTAATTTTGAGAATCAGATTGCAATCAAACAAGTTCCAATTTAGCAATATTTTTTTCCCCTAATTTGATGACAAGTGTAAGAGCTATGAGGCCTATGTAATCAGGCTGATGTCATTATTATTATTATGACGTCCTACAGTTAACATTTAAAACTTTTAAAGGTACATCTTGTGGAAGCGCAGTGCAAATGTAACTACATGTACAGGTAGCCAATCATCACCAAGACAAATGTGTCTTTTGTGTAGAACTTCATAAAAACTGAACATGTGTAACACGTCACAAAAACCCTACCTGTTTATAAAATAGTTCCACACTTTGACCATCGGATCTTTCATCTTGAAGGAGGTATTCCAGTGATCGTCCAACATGGAAAGGAAATGTTTTACGTCCGGGTTGGAAGTCCTAAAACAAAATACTATTCTTTGTGTACTGCCTTCAATATCACTCCGAGTTGACGAAATATATCCCATATCCTGTCACAAGTACTGATCCTATATGAGGTCACGCGCAAGTTTATTAATAAATTTGTGTTGATACCTATCTATCTATATAGTACTCAGATAGTTCATGTGCTAAAGTGTATTCATGGAAATGAAAGTTAATATAACTTCGTACATACCTGTCTTTTAATTTACAGTCTATTCGACTCGAGCCCCGATTAGTAAATTACATAATATGCCCAAATAAGTTCAGACTGAACCATTTCATATTAAGTAGTGTTTAATATGTCAGGACTTCAATGACTTTCGAGATACTCCTATTCGGAATTGGAACTATTTATTTGTCACATATATGTACAACTATTGTTGAAAGTGAAAAGAATACTGAGAATTCTTCATCGTACCGTCTAAATGTTTCAAAATTCAAATGTTTCTCTGTTGGTAAATACAACGTATATCGCAATTATCTTTCGATGAGTATATTGTGATATCATGCATTCTACTATCAAATACTGTACCATTTTATCTAATGACACGAACTGTGACCGACACTGTACCATTTTATCTACATGTAATGACACGAACTGTGACCGACACTGTACCATTTTATCACGTGACACGAGCTGTGGCGGAAACTGTACTCTTTTCTCACGTGACACGATCTGTGATAGACATTGTTCTATTTTATCACGTGACGCGATCTGTGACAGACATTGTTCTATTTTATCACGTGACGCGATCTGTGACAAACACTGTTATCTAATGATAGCCTTTGGCTGAGGTCGATACCTGGATTTATCAACCCGAGAAAAAGATATATTAACAGAGGACGCAGTCCGAGGTCAATATATATTTTCTCGGGTCAATAAATACAGGTATCGACGGAAGTCAAAGGCTACAATTGTTTTATTATTTCAAAACAGTAATGTTAGCAATCTGAAAAAAAAATCACCGCAAAAATCTACGGAAGCGGGACGATGCGTTTGTTTGGAGTCGCGTCCTAATTCTGTTTTTAGAAACACCCAGTCCTTCAACAAAAATCACGCGCTCCAAGTCAATATCGGTTTTTATCGGTGGACACGTGATGCATTCCTGGCCAATCAGTTGTCGGGAATAATATGAAAATATAATAATCTATTTTATCACGTGACACGAATTGTGACCGACACTGTACCATTTTATCACGTGACACGAGCTGTGGCGGAAACTGTACTCTTTTATCACGTGACACGATCTGTGACAGACACTGTTCTATTTTATCACGTGACGCGATCTGTGACAGACACTGTTATTCAATTATAGCCTTTGGCTGAGGTCGATACATGGATTTATCGACCCGAGAAAAGATATATTAACAGAGGACGCAGTCCGAGGTCAATATATATTTTCTCGGGTCGATAAATACAGGTATCGACGGAACTCAAAGGCTACAATTGTTTCATTATTTCAAAACAGTAATGTTAGCAATCTGGAAAAAAAGTCACCGCAAAAATCTACGGAAGCGGGACGATGCGTTTGTTTGGAGTCGCGTCCTAATTCTAATTTTAGAAACACCCAGTCCTTTAACAAAAATCACGCGCTCCAAATCAATATCGGTTTTTATCGGTGGACACGTGATGCATTCCTGGCCAATCAGTTGTCGGGAATAATATGAAAATATAATAATCTATTTTATCACATGACACGATCTGTGACTGGAATTTGACTAACCAGCAGTTTAAAGGCACTTCGTCTCCTCCTAGATGAACGAAGCGATCATTAAATACGTCAAATATTTCACGGAATAGTTTATTGAGGAAGTCGAACGTGTAGTTTTTACTGGGGTCCATGGGCCCTAGATAGCCCGGGACTGGTCTGTAGTTCATGTAGCACTGGGCGAGGATTTCCGGGTGACCAAACCCCCAGGAAAACGTGTGACCTGAAATACACAAACGGGAAACGACACATTTATATAATGAAATATCTTTATGCGGACTTCTATCATCAGGGAACCTTGATCTCTGGACTATCAAGAAACATGCACTGTTAAAAAAGCTTCGTTTCTGTACTAACGGGTGACTTGTTTATCTCTGTTTGATCAGGAAAGGAACCTCTTCTCTATCAGGAATCCTTTCTTCAGGCCATTTACCAAACATGTATCTCTGGACTATAGCGAATCCTTTCTCTATAACCTTTTATGATATGTTTCCCTCTTGACTATCAGGAACAGTTTCTCTGACCTAGGTTTAAAGGGACTCCTCGCTTATGGGCGATATGCTGTAAGCATTATTATCATGCATTTTATATGAATCAAAGTGGTTAAATAAAATGTGAACACTAAGATCTATGGAGCGTTAACCTTATTTTGCGCTTTGATTGATTTCGTTCCATTTGGGTTATAAGATCACTATTATTTCTACGTGTGCCATAATTATATATAAATACACAGGTGAATAACGGTGCATGTAACCATTTAGATAATCAAATTATGCATCATAAATAGCTGAGGTGGGAGTTATTGACTAAAATGTGTTTTGCGCTAGGCATACCAGGAGTATCAAACTCAGGGATGACCCTGACGGCTCGTATCCGGGCGTATTCGATGATGTCGGCAATATCCTGGGGTCGGTACACAAGCGACGGATGGTAGGCGCCCTGTCAACATAAAATAAGGGCGCAGTAGCTTCTATGCGTTTATGTTTGCATTTAAACAAGGATATGCCCGTCAACACCAACATAATATATTGCAGAAATGTTAAGGGAACATTTGAAAATTCAAGTCGTTGTGAGTTAAAAAAAATATACGGATTAAGTATATCCCCCACCCCCGAGTTCTTTGTGTATTTTCGCATAATGGTAAGCCTTTAAACTCGCCGTTTTTAACGATGATTTTAAATAGAGTTATCTACCTTGTCGGAGAGATTCGGGAAAGTCCGGCTCACGTACGGAAATGACTGGTCATCCACCAGGTGCCAGTGTAGAACGTTCATCTTATTCTGTACCATGCCTTCCTGTAACAAATAAAATCAGCCAAACATCAATTAAAACTTACTTACGGTGGAACCCGTGAACTCCGACAATCAGCAACACTCACATTCAACGTATACAAGTACACAATACTTATATAGCGTCTGTGATCTAAACTATAACCTAATTGTGAATTTCTCGCAATCAAAACGGCCTGATCCTTTACAAATGATCAGTTCTCAAAAACTCATAAACTTGAGGGGACATTCGTTTATTCTAATAAAATTTGTAATCTTTAAACATGAAAATACATGTAGTTGATAAGAAACAATTTATCACTAAAAGAAACTGAATGTGGCAACTACGTGTATTAAGGTCATAATTTACTACATTTGGTTTTTAGCCCACCATCATCTGATGGTGGGCTAAAAACCGTATTTTATATGTAGATTCCCCTTGGTCCTTAGCTGTACAGGGCAACTTTTGAGACTGATCGGTTTAACAACATGGCCGACAGGCAGCCATCTTGGATTTTGATAGTGAAAGTTGGTTATCGCTATTTCTCGGGAAGTACCCAAGGGATTTATCTCAAATTTTATATGTAGGTTCTCCTTGGCCCCTTGTTGTGATGGGCAACTATTGAGACTGATCGGATGAATAACATGGCCGACAGGCAGCCATTTTTGATTTTGACAGTGAAAGTTTGTTATGGCTATTTCTCAGGAGGTACAATGTACCGGAGGGATCTTTCTCAAATTGTATTTGTTGGTTTCCCTTGTTCCCTTGTTGTGCACTTGCTGTGCCTAAAATGGACGGTCGCCCGCTCGCCAATGGCGATTAAAGTCTTGCTCGGGTGACCAAAAAGTTGTTAAAAGTGAGGTAGTCACTGGCCCAACAAAAATATTTTGGGCGACTGTCGAAAAATGTATGAATAAAAGAAATTATAGTCCCTTCTACATTAACTGGGGGGCAGTACATCTTTCAGTTGTCATTACATCGATTTGAATCGAACTGTCCGTGATTTAGAAAATGTGATGATTTTTTTTCAGATTTTCTATATAAATAAGGCCAGGGTGCGAGTTTTGTGTATTTCTTTGGGAAACATGTCAGATTTTAACTAGGATTGAAGAATCAAAAATATATAAAAAAAAATCTGTTTTACATATTAAAAACATTGTCATGTTATATGTAATTTAAATGTGCTGAAGCATTGTGTTAAATGCTGTGGAAATATTTCTTCCGAAATTTATTTGGGCCACCAATATGTCATTTGGGTCAGTGCTTCAAATTTTTTAATCGCCCAAAAAACATTTTTTTGGGCCAGCCAATGCAGTTTCCCCACTATCTTTTATTGTTCATGTTTACTTTTGAAACTGATCAGTTAAACAAAATGGCCTACCGACAGCCGTCTTCGATTTTTGACATTGAAGGTTTGGTAGTACTATTTCTCAGGAATAACTTCAGGGATCTTTCTCAAATTTAATATGTAGGTTCCCCTTGATCCCTCGTTTTGTATGTTATATTTTGAGACTGATCATAAAAACAAAATGGCTGAAGGAGGAGCTAAACAGATCTTTCTCATATTGCAATGATCGATTCTATTTCTTTCACATTACGTACTGTACTAGTAAATATGTGAAATGACAAAATCACTTTTGAAGGCTGGCTTTATATATGTATACACATCAAAAGTTACCTCAAGGTGCAGATTACAGGAAAGAAGAGAAAAGAACAAATAACAAAGAACTAATGAAGATGGTACAATGGTGGGCACCAAGATCCCTCTGGGATCTCTTGTTTATCGTATTGTCATAACATGCACGTGCACTGGTTTTTTTATCATTAATCGTAAAATATCCATAAATAAGTTACTCATTGCAAGTATTTGCACTTCTCATGGATATTACTACTTACGATGACGTCATATATGATGCTCTTTTTAATAAAATGCCTTGATGAGTCAATCAGGATGCCTCGATGGGAAAATCTCGGAAAGTCTTCTATCACTGTATCTTTTATATAAAACTGAAACAAAAACAGGAGATGTCAACATATAATGTATATCTACATTTCCACTGCAAGATTCTCTATTAGCATTGCCTGAAGAAATGGTGTTCATTGAGTCTTGAACGCAATTTGTTCAGCGTCATTTCGAAGCTTCTCCTCCCGTCTCGAATAATAAGAGATATCTGTAGAAGCAAACGTTTTTGTGACATTAGGCTGTTCCATGAATGTTGTTTGCCCTGACCACACAGACACTCCAATATCGGAAATGTAAGGGAAAATCTATATTACGTCAATAACAACTAGAAAGAAAGAAAGGATTGAATGGCATTTTTTCAGGGTAGCGGGCTTCATGGTTAATATGTTTGTAACCGATTTGCGTTCGTACATTGTACCAGCATGAAATTGAAAAACATTCTGAGATGCATCAGACTGTTTTCTTGTACATATAACGGTGTTTCGGGATAAACATGTTTTGTTTGCAAATATTTCACAAGGTATGTCTCCTCTGAAGTTGTCTTCTGAATAAGTGTGAGAAGATAACAAAAATGTCAGTGTTATTTCTCCAAACACATGTAAACAAATTCATTTTCGCAAATATCTTACAATTGTACTACCACAACCGTAAACATATTTCACACGCAAATTACGTTACAGTATAGAATATAACGGATTTCTTCATTAATATAAATCGTGTGATAATATACCTCACGAAACAATGCTACCAACAGTGTTCACGAATAGGCGTTTCGTCCCCATTATTGATTTACCGTAATACTAACAAATCGAACTGTTCTCACTCTCCACGCTCGGGATACAGAGTGATATTCCTTCTATACCTCTACACCCTGATTACAAAGTAATCACAACATATGACCAGCACAGCACTCTGCTCTTAAATCTGCCCCGTGAGTATTGACCTCTGATGATGTCAGGCGAGACTTGACCTTATTCTGTCCCCACTCGACTCTGCGGCTGTCATCTTTGCCTGTAATCCTGATGAAGTGATTTCCTCTCGTGCCGCCATTATCACATGACCTAAGCGTGACGTCATGTGAGGTCACGGCCTAAACTCCGTTTGACCTTGGACAAATAGAACTCAATGTATTCTATTGCTGTTGTATGTTAACATACATGTATTTAGGATGCAACTGACATATTCTCCCCTTAAAGTTTACACTATAAATCGTTATTTTTAGGGATTCTTGCGTTTACCGTTATTCACATCTGTCAAAGTTGTCGAGATGAAAAGGGGACCTCTAAGAACGCTGTAAAATGTCCTTTGTGAATTGAAACTTGGTCTTGCTTGAAGATTGGTTTTCTCTTATATTTAATTTACATGGTGATATGTGCACATATACCGCAGAGATCATGCGAATCACATTACACACCTCAGAAGTTACGAAGTTACTTAAGCTTGTGTTTTCATAGCTGTATGAACATTGTAAAGCCTCTAGACAACGTCGATCTTTCATGGTAAAGTTACACATAACACAACGTGAAGGTTTCTAGTTTTAGTTAGAAAAAAAATTAAAACGTCATTTTTTCTGTATTAATTTCGTGTGGTTTAATTTAGTGAATGAAGCAACAAGAAAACCATGATGGCTGTTTATTTTCTAAACAAAACGTTCACTCTTCTAAAACAAATTGTAACAGTGTGGGATTTTTTTTTAACCCCGACTAGGGGTCTCTGTTAGAAAACGAGCTACAGTTTACGGAAACAGAGAAAATCGGGGAGTGACTAATGCGAGCCCGGGGGTAGGGGTTCCTATAACTCACATCACGGTGACGTAAATCAGACAAGTTACAAAGTGTTTTGTTGCTAAAGTACATAGTTAGCCACAGGCACGTGACGAGAGTTACGAGGGGGCGTCGTTTGTCTTACACGGGAACCATCATCTGTCACTCAACGTAACAAGCTGCAACATAATAAGTTGTGAATGTGTATGGTGTAGAAGTGTATGGTGTGGGTGTATATGGTGTGGGTGTGTATGGTGTGGGTGTTTATGGTGTGAATGTGTCTAGTGTGGAAGTGTACATGTATGTTGTTTTTGGATATGGGTGTGTGTATGGTGTGGGTGTGTATGGGTGTGTATGGTATGGGTGTATGGGTGTGTCTGTTGTTGGTGTGTGGGTGTGTATGTTGTTGGTGTGTGGTAGTGTATGTTGTTTTTGTGTATGGGTGTGTATGGTGTGGGTGTGTGTGGGTGTGTATGGTGTCGGTGTGTATGTTGTTGGTATGTGGGTGTGTATGGTGTGGGTGTGCATGTTGTTGGTGTGTTGGTGTGTATGTTGTTGTTGTGTGGAAGTGTATGTTGTTGGTGTGTGGGTGTGTATGGTGTGGGTGTGTAGGTGTATATGTTGTTGGTATGTGGGTGTGTATGGTGCGGGTGTGTATGTTGTTGGTGTGTGGGTGTGAATGGTGTGGTTGTGTGGGTGTGTGGTCGTGTATGTTGTTGGTGCGTGCGTGTGTATATTGTTGGTGTGTGGAAGTGTATGTTGTTGGTATGTTGGTGTGTATGGTGTGAATGTGTATGGTGTGGGTGTGTGGGTGTGTATGTTGTTGGTGTGTGGGTGTGTATGTTGCGGACGATTGGGTGTGTATGGTTTGGGTGTGTATGTTGTCGGTGTGTGGAAGTGTATATTGTTGGTATGTGGGTGTGTATGTTGTGGGTGTGTGGGTGTGTTTGGTGTGGGTGCGTATGGTGTGGGTGTGTATGGTGTGGGTGTGTATGGTGTGGGTGCGTATATTGTTGGTGTGTTGAAGTGTATGTTGTTGGTATGTTGGTGTGTATGGTGTGAATGTGTATGGTGTGGGTGTGTGGGTGTGTACGTTATTGGTGTGTTGGTGTGTATGTTGTGGACGTGTGGGTGTGTATGTTGTTGGTGTGTATGCTGTTGGCGGGTGGAAGTGTATGTTGTTGGGGTGTGGGTGTGTATGGTGTGGGTGAGTATGTTGTTGGTGTGTGGGTGTATGGGTGTGTATGTTGTTGGTGTGTGGGTGTATGGGTGTGTATGTTCTTGGTGTGTGGGTGTATGGGTGTGTATGTTGTTGGTGTGTGGAATGGTATGTTGTTGGTGTGTGGGTGTGTATGTTGTTGGAGTGTTGGTGTGTATGTTGTTGGTTTGTGGGTGTGTATGTTGTGGACGTGTGGGTGTGTATGGTGTGAGTGTGTATGGTGTGTGTGTGTATGTTGTTGGTGTGTGGAAGTGTATGTTGTTGGAGTGTGGGTGTGTATGGTGTGGGTGTGTATGTTGTGGGTGTTTGGGTGTGTATGTTGTTGGTTTGTGGGTGTGTATGTTGTGGGTGTGTGGATGTGTATGGTGTGAGTGTGTATGGTGTGGGTGTGTCGGTGTGTATGTTGTTGGTTTGTGGGTGTGTATGTTGTGGGTGTGTATGTTGTTGGTGTGTTGAAGTGTATGTTGTTGGTGCGTGCGTGTGTATGTTGTTGGTGTGTGGGTGTGTATGGTGTGATTGTGTATGGTGTGGGTGTGTGGGTGTGTATGTTGTTGGTTTGTGGGTGTGTATGTTGTGGACGTGTAGGTGAGTATGGCGTGGTGGGTGTATGTTGTTGGTGTGTGGAAGTGTATGTTGTTGGTGTGTGGGTGTGTATGGTGTGGGTGTGTATGTTGTTGGTGTGTTAAAGTGTATGTTGTTGGTGTGTGGGTGTGTATGGTGTGGCTGTGTGGGTGTGTATGTTGTTGGTGTGTGGGTGTGTATGGTGTGGGTGTGTATGTTGTTGATGTGTGGGTGTGTATGGTGTGGTTGTGTGGGTGTGTATGTTGTTGGTGTGTGGGTGTGTATGGTGTGGTTGTGTGGGTGTGTATGTTGTTGGTTTGTGGGTGTGTATGTTGTGGACGTGTAGGTGAGGATGGCGTGGGGGGTGTATGTTGTTGGTGTGTGGAAGTGTATGTTGTTTGTGTGTGGGTGTGTATGGTGTGGGTATGTATAGTGTTGATGTGTGTGTGTATGGTGTGGTTGTGTATGTTGCTGGTGTGTGGGTGTGTATGGTGTGGGTGTGTATGGAGTGGCAGTGTGGGTGTGTATATTGTTGGTGTGTATGGTGTGGGTGTGTATGTTGTTGATGTGTGGGTGTGTATTGGTATGTGGGTGTGTATGGTGCGGGTGTGTATGTTGTTGGTGTGTGGGTGTGAATGTTGTTGGTGTGTGGAAGTGTATGTTGTTGTTGTGTGGGTGTGTATGTTGTTTGTGTGTGGGAGTGTATGTTGTTGGTGTGTGGAAGTGTATGTTGTTGTTGTGTGGGAGTGTATGTTGTTGGTGTGTGGAAGTGTATGTTGTTGATGTGTGGGTGTGTATGTTGTTGATGTGTGGGTGGGTATGGTGTGGTTGTGTGGGTGTGTATGTTGTTGGTGTGTGGAAGTGTATGTTGTTGTTGTGTGGGTGTGTATGGTGTGGTTGTGTGGGTGTGTATGTTGTTGGTTTGTGGGTGTGTATGTTGTGGACGTGTAGGTGAGGATGGCGTGGGGGGTGTATGTTGTTGGTGTGTGGAAGTGTATGTTGTTTGTGTGTGGAAGTGTATGTTGTTGGTGTGTGGGGGTGTATGTTGTTTGTGTGTGGAAGTGTATGTTGTTGGTGTGTGGGTGTGTATGTTGTTGGTGTGTGAGTGTGTATGTTGTTGTTGTGTGGGTGTGTATGTTGTTGGTGTGTGGGTGTGTATTTTGTTTGTGTGTGGAAGTGTATGTTGTTGGTGTGTGGAAGTGTATGTTGTTTGTGTGTGGAAGTGTATGTTGTTGTTGTGTGGGTGAGTATGTTGTTGGTGTGTGGGTGTGTATTTTGTTTGTGTTTGGAAGTGTATGTTGTTGGTGTGTGGAAGTGGATGTTGTTGGTGTGTTGATGTGTATGTTTTTGGTGTGTTGTTGGTGTATGGTGTGGGTGTGTATGGTATAGGTGTGTATGATGTGGGTATTTATGGTGTGTAAGTGTATGTTGTTGTTGTTGTGTATGGTGGGTGTGTGTGTGTATGGTGGGTGTGTAGGGGGTGGGTGTGTATTGTGTGAATGTGTATGACACTGCTGTGTATTATATATATACATGTATATGGTGTGGAAGTCTATGGCGTTGATGTGTTTGTTTTGGGTTTGTATGGTATGGGTGTGTATGGAATGGGTGTGTACGGTATGGGTGGGTATTATTTGGGAGTGTATGGTGTGAATGTGTATGATGTGAATGTGAATGATGTTGAAGTGTATGGTGTGGGTGTGTATGTTGTTGGTGTGTGGGTTTGTATGTTGTTGGTGTGTGGGTGTGTATGTTGTTTGTGTGTGGAAGTGTATGTTGTTGGTGTGTGGGTGGGTATGTTGTTGGTGTGTGGAAGTGTATGTTGTTGGGGTGTGGGTGTGTATGGTGTGGGTGTGTATGGTGTGGGTGTGTATGGGGTGGGTGTGTATGTTGCTGTTGTGTGGGTGTGTATGGTGTGGGTGTGTATGGTATGGGTGTGTATGGTATGGGTGTGTATGGTATGGGTGTGTATGGTATGGGTGTGTATGGTGTGGGTGTGTATGGTGTGGGTGTGTATGTTGCTGATGTGTGGGTGTGTATGGTGTGGGTGTGTATGGGGTGGGTGTGTATGTTGCTGTTGTGTGGGTGTGTATGGTGTGGGTGTGTATGGTGTGGGTGTGTATGGGGTGGGTGTGTATGTTGCTGTTGTGTGGGTGTGTATGGTGTGGGTGTGTATGTTGCTGATGTGTGGGTGTGTATGGTGTGGGTGTGTATGTTGTTGGTGAGTGGGTGTGTATGTTGTTGTTGTGTGGGTGTGTTTGTTGTTGTTGTGTATGTTGTTGGTGTGTGGATGTGTATGTTGTTGGTGTGTGGTTGTGTATGTTGTTGGTGTGTGGAAGTGTATGTGATGTGTTGGTGTGTATGGTGTGGGTGTGTATGTTGTTGGTGAGTGGGTGTGTATGTTGTTGTTGTGTGGGTGTGTTTGTTGTTGTTGTGTATGTTGTTGGTGTGTGGACGGGTATGTTGTTGGTGTGTGGAAGTGTCTGTTGTTGGTGTGTGGGTGTGTATGGTGTGGGCGTGTATGGTGTGGGTGTGTATGTTGTTGATGTGTGGGTGTTTATGTTGTTGTTGTGTATGTTGTTGGTGTGTGGAAGAGTATGTTGTTGGTGTGTGGTGTGTATGTTGTTGATGTGTGGGTGGGGATGTTGTTGGTGTGTGGGGGTGTATGTTGTTGATGTGTGGGTGTGTATGGTGTTGTTGTGTATGTTGTTGGTGTGTGGAAGTGTATGTTCTTGGTGTGTGGAAGTGTATGTTGTTGGTGTGTGGGTGTGTATGTTGTTGGTGTGTGGAAGTGTATGTTGTTGATGTGTTGGTGTGTATGTTGTTGGTGTGTGTGTGTGTATGGTGTGGGTTTGTATGGTATGGGTGTGTATGATGTGGGTGTTTATGGTGTGGAAGTGTATGTTGTTGTTGTTGTGTATGGTGTGTGTGTGTGTATGGTGGGTGTGTATTGTGTGTATGTGTATGACACTGCTGTGTATTATATATATATATATGTATATGGTGTAGACGTCTATGGCGTTGATGTGTATGGTTTGGGTTTGTAAGGGTGTGTATGGTATAACTAGTTATTGTATAGATGATGATAAAAATGGCAGATGTTTATTGTTTTGCTTATTACTGTCGTTGGTTGTTTCAACGTTCTATAAGATTTACCTGACCATTTATTGTGGATGTTTGTGAAGATAGTTATTCTGGATATGGATGCTTACTTTGTGTGATGCTATTGTGTGATGCTATTGTGTGGATGTTTATTGTGTGGATGTTATTGTGTGATGTTATTGTGTGGATGTTTATGACTTGGATGTGTATTGCTTAGATATTTGTTTGTGGGTGTTTGTAAATTAGATGTTTATGGTGGATATTTACTGTGCGTCTTTTTTTGTGCTGATATTTAACATTTAGAATCTCATTAATATACATTGCGTCTTTCGATATCATAAACATAATTAGAATAACAATAATTGGCATATTCGTCCGTTTACAAAAGATTCATCAGCCCCGTTTCCGATGCACACCAGTCCGTCTCCTGATTACAATACTGAAGCACATCTCTCAATCTCTGTCCCGAGAGCGAACACCTTGCAACACAAATCTCTGTCTTGAACTTAATCATAAAAATAAACACCCTGGAAATGAATAGATATTATACCATTATCGTAAAACATAAAATGAAGCGGTAATACTCTGCCACGATTCATTCCGTAAACATAAACACGCCACATGCACTTGTACATGTATGTATACACACACAAATAGAAATTCGGTGCCCACGTAATTGTCGGACGGAGTGTTTAACTGCATTATTGGTCATGTAACACCTTCAAACAAATCTGAATAATATTTTGTTTGTGGCTTGAAGTAATACTAACAAGCTTTCCAATGCAACGCTCGTGCAGTAATGTACTTAGATGTAATTCCAAGATCAATTTGTATGGCTAACAGAAGGTAGCTGAATGCCGTATTGTTCAGTGATCGCTATCGGTACTAAAACCAATCCCTCTCTTGTTTTTATGCTGAGAAGAGTTTAAGTGAAATTGGCGTTTTTTAAATAAATGACGGCTTGTGAACGTCACCATGGCGCCGGACTTGACAGGGGAGGTATCGGCTGGACCGACAAAACTTTTTTTTAGAAAGGTCGACCTTGGCCCTCAGTGTCAATTCATCTAAAACTGTTGCCATCATTTATTGTGATGACGAGTCTTGGCGCGTTCCACAGACAAGGTGCTTCTCTCGTTATTGGCGGCTAAATCACGGAATTCATCGATCCGATAAAAATAAACAGATTGTGATCTAATAGCTATCTGGCAAAAATAATCTGCGTTATCGACCCGTTATTTACGCTGTGTTAGTACCAAAAATCTCTCAATTCCTGGTTTACGGGTTATCATCATTAACACGCGGTTGTACACCTGGCCTGGTACATTTTCGGGTGACAACATATACCGTACAGAGACATATTTAACCGGAATAACAGACATGTTTGGAACAAGAACAAAAAAAGATCTGAAACTTTATGAAAAACATAACAATGAACGCTATGAAAAGAGATTATGTAAAATCTGTACAGTACATGTACAATTTAAAATTGTCGCATACAAGTTGCTTTAATCCTAAAGGCATACGTTTAGCTTACCTTATTCTGCCGTTTATATAATATTTGGCTGAAAGTCTCGAGTCCCCTCAAGGCACCCCACACCTCGTTCGCGATCAGGAAGATCCCAGATGGTTTCACCAATAGTGAATCTAACAAATATAAGAAGATAAGTTCTTTACAATTTGTAATAATCACAGCATGTTCGAACATCTCTATGTGTATGGAGTACTGGGCATTTGAGGGTTTAGGTCAGCCTCGGTAAAGGTAGAAATGGTTGCATGCGCTCGAAGTCTTAAAACTTTAGATACCGTCTTATCTATTTAAGTTAAATTAGGGTGTTCTTTTGTGAGCGTACACTTTTGTCCCGTAATGCCTCGTTTTCATTCCAGCAACACCCATCTGATGTTATAGTTCCTTGTTACAGAAGGTGTGTGGAGAAGCGTTAACATGTCACGTACTTACCTGTACAGAAGGTGTGTGGAGAAGCGTTAACATGTCATGTACACATTTTTGTAATTCTTAGAAGCTTACACTTGCAATACTGGAGAGGCTAAGAGCACGCACAATAATGCATGGTTATGAACCAATTAAGGGTGACGTTACAACGCACACGTGGCAATATATATTTTTTATAAACAATGTATTGTAATTTGTCAGCTATAATGGTTTCGTAGTAAACCTCATTTTAAACTTTGCTGCGTTTTATCAAATGAACTCTCCATGGGTATTGACATTGATAGAATTAACTCGTCCTCTCATCAATTTTGTATCAAATTTAGATGAAATTGTTCTGATTGAAACTGAAATTCGGACTAATTTTATTTTAAATCAGACCACTTGCTTGGGACAATCAAGTGTGGAATTATGGCAGGCCGCGGGAATACTGTAATACAACATGTTTCACTGATGTGTTATTCGCTGTGAGTCCGGTGCTCGACTGTATCTCGTCCTGTAACTTGGATGTAGATATGTATTTTGTCGTGTGTGACTTACTGACATAGATTTCACTGTTACTCAAACGCTGTTCAAAAGTAGGTCACTGTGACTTAAATGTTGACATGTATTGATGTGTGACGTTGATGCTATCATGTACTGTGACTTAGACGCTACATAAATGTATGTACATGTACATGTAAACTGTATTTCACTACGCCTGACTCAGGTGCGCACGTGTATTGCGCTTTGAATAAATGCTGACATGCGCTTATTTCAAACTGCTTATATATATACATCTGTACACGTAAAACGAGAAACAAATAAAACAAAGGAAAGACAGCGTACTTTAGTGTCGCAAAGGCGGACACTTATTCTGGAAACATGTATATATATATATATATATGCTGTCCTGAAGTTGTCTTTACAACAAGGGGAATATACATGTACAATACATCTTATTTGTAATTCGGTTTTATCAAGAAAGGACAATTTACAGGCGTGTGTGGTAGAGTACAGTAAATAAAATACCAATACTTTTGTATTGAATCCTTAAAACAAACAGGAAATACAATTTAAAATTATGTTTTGGAGTAGTCTGATTGAATGCTTTCTAATTGATCGTTCGAGTCATTTATAAAATATCATTTAAAATACCTTGCTCAAAATGTTTCATCCTACTTTCACATACTAAAATGTTTTATCTCAAAATGCTATGCTATTATGTATAATTTCAATATACAGCTTTACATGTACCATGTATACATTTTTTTTCTAAGTGATTTGACCTCCACTCCTCATAACTTAACAGAACAAAAACATCTGTAGCCGGATGACAACTTATTCATCGTTTATAAAACTTTCTAAATAAATACTTCCCACTTTTCACAATACCTTGTTCTCTCTCTCTGTAAAAAATAAATAAAAGAGAGTGCTTGTGTTTTATCCATGCACGAATGGATTTAAAGAGAGGGATATCACCGATAACAACGATGGATAATCTAACAAGACTCCAATCTGCAGGCCTGTTTCTGTTCAATCACACGTGTGAACAATGTCCAATGACTTTTGTACACCACAAAATATAAAGAGGCAGCCTAGCTTCACCTAAGTGTAAAATAACCGAAATATATGTGCTCTCCACTGACATTTAAAACTATAACACAAAGTACTCATACTCACATCCTTCGTCAGAAGATTCGTGCAGATAATTCGAGCATGAGTTTTTTAGCACCACTGACATCCAGGAAATAGGTGAAGCATCTTCATGAATTTTTCTCATATTTAATATTTCCTTATCAAATCCACCATTTTTCAAGTATTTCAAATTGTCGTAGAACTCTTCGGAAGCATATTTAAAAATGGCATCTTTATAACGTTGTATAGCCTTTTCTAAAATAACACACGTAGAATTTTCTGTTTTTATACTAAATGAATGCTGTTCTATTCGATACACTTTGTCTTTATTAGCCTTGTAATGCTGGGGTAAGGGCCAAGGTTCTCCGCATGTGGCACGAGGCGCTCTCCTGAGTTTGAAGGCGGGGCCGCGAATGCTATTGAACTGTATACTAAAATCTGTATAATCCCATTCAATTGAAACGTTTTTATTGGCACTCCTGTGTATTGGTCCACGTGGATATTGCTGCCTAATTTTTCCTGAAATGAGAAAGATATCAAGAGTACAACCACGTTATTTCCAAAAAGGATTCAATGCCAGGGAACTTAGGAATATTGAACAGCATATTCTTCTTTTTAGATGTTCATGCCAGTATGAACTATATTCGATGGTAACTATAAGGTTTCCAATAAAGTACAGATTTAATCAGGGATAACAGGAATAGACTAATTTAACAGGGACCACACTAGTCAACGGATTTATACTGGGATCACAGTTATGTTCGGATTTATTTTTTCAGGGATCACAGTTATGCAGTAGTTGCCGTATTATTCGAATTTATTTAGGAACCATAATTTCTGGAAATATCTGTGTGTGCCTTGTGACAGTTAAAAAATATGTATTAACTTCCAAATTATTACATTTAAAGACGTGGCACTTCTGGTCAAAGTTATAGGATACAGTAAAAAGAACGGCGGTATACTTATACAAAGGTATATTTCTGTGTGTACACTGGCTGGTCGCATTACCGCAAGGTGGATATTTCTATTTTACTTACGTATGTCCAGTTTGGTTCTGTTGTACTTGCTAAGTGAGGAGTAATTCCCTCTTCTGGTTCCCCCAACGTATACTGGCGCCGCCTTTTGGGCATTTTGTGAGTAGACGTTGACAAGAAGGACGGTTAGCCATGCAAGAGTTACGGCAGGATTGTCCATTCTTGACTATCCCATATTGGACCGAGTTTGAACAGAAGAAAACATGTTGAATAATCTAAAATTAAAAAAAAAAGCTGCGTCTTAGTCTTTTTAAAGTCTTGGATTTCCATGGAACTCGTCGACAGAACAACGTCTTCAATTCGGGTAATGGTTCACAGTGCCTATATTAAGAAATCACGTTCACACAATACAGGTGTAATAATCAAGAAGTTTGATCTCGTAACGGTTCTGTAAGGATATAGGTCGCACTTGGCATTATGCTAGGGACGCATTACCGTTCTGTCAGCATCTGTATAGACAGAGAAGTGTTAATGAGTGTTAATTGGATTTCTGGAAACACATGATCGTGCATGTAACATTCTAAGAACTATACTTATACAATGAGATGCTCCTCAAATTCTACTGTAAATGTTGTGTAAAGCACTTATGCAGACACTGTCCCCAGGGTAGCACTTCGTAGTGTCCTGTCGAGCTCTAACATTTTGAAAATGTATTTGATTACACTCTCATTAAAGATTAAGTGTGTAAAAACTGGAAGTCGGGGAGTTTGCTCGAAATCCCCCCCCCCCCCCCCCCCCCCCCCCCCCTCTGACATTTTTATATTTTCACTCTAAAAAGTCGATGACTTAAACCAATTTTTAGTGGCGTTTATCTGGAATTTACCTTCTTTGAATTACCATAGTATATAACATATATGAATTAAGGGAACCACAGTGTCTGGATGACCGATATACCGATGTAACTCCACTTTGGTGAAGTACGCAGTAAGGCCAGGTTGACCCACTAGATATATCGATCTGTGTCCATGAAACGGGTCATAATACATAATGAATTGTTTATTATCGTTCGGAAGACATGCTAACACAACTATTATACAAACACGTACTAAATACTACCGTTCTCCTCCCTTCTCATTCGTACACATATACATGTATCAGGAAACTATATCCTGTTTCTAACTTGAACTATCGTATGGACAATCGCCAGGCACTGACCGCAGGTGGTGTTTTCTCCGAGCATTAAGGTTTTCCTCCACCACCAAAACCTGGCTGGTCCTAAAATGGCCATACATATATGTAGCTGTTTTAAAATAGGTCGTAGAGCACATACAAACCAAACTAAACCAAACGTCTCCATAACGTCTAAGGTCCTGGAGTACATAACAAACAAAACAGCTAAGATATTATGTATGTAGACGTACATACACATAACAAACATTATAGTTAACGTCATATGACGCCGTAAAAGCATAGTTCATATGACGACACATCAGCTAAGGTCACATGGCATGACAACAAAACATAATGATATCGGACGTCATGTTATGACGTAACAGACAAGGAGTTTAGGATCATTGGACGACAGCTACCATTTATTGTTATCACCATGATTTAGACAAGTTTCAACATGTACGTTATACATGTATATTAGAGTGATCTTTAAGTCTTTGACATCGGCATGACGATGGTATCAACTCACTATAGGATGTAAAGGAAATGATAATAATGGTTAAATTTAGATACACGTAAAATGTAATCAGGCACCGTAATTGTACATTGTAGATAATTTTAATATTTGATACTGAACAGCGTGCGCTTAAGTCTAAAAGACCCAAGAGGAAGGATTAGAAACCAGAGGTAATACTTTCTCATTGTCAACGGACGCTTAATGTGTTCCAAAGGTTATACTAGGGTACCAGTCCGTAACCAATAATCTGTTTTCTCACTTCCAGCTTTATTGTCTTTTTAATTAGCCAATGATATACTAATACATACTATAATACCTCAATACACCGGGAAATTCCACATATTACAACCATGACACTATGATACATCCACATGATAAGGATATTTCCTTGACCACACATGCCTGTGGTACTGTACGTGCACGTAACAGGTAAACATCGTGTTTCTATGGTGACATATGGTAAATAGTAGACTGGGGACATTAGCTGGGTGATTACTGTCATGTGATGTATCTTTGTCTGGGAAACACACACGTAATGATCAGCTGATTTATTTAGCATTCGAACAGTCTACGTTCGTGTAGCACTGTCTCTGGTCTGTCATTATGACGGGGTCCATTGACACAGACGTTGATCAATGGCCATTTCGGGTCAGAAAGATTTCTCGTTTATTCTGTACCAGAGTTTACAGAACTTTATAAAAATACACTCTTTAGGCTAGTGGTTATTTCAGCCACCATAAGTGGTGTTTCTGAAGTTATGAGCGTTCTCAGTAGCAACCGTAGCCTTCCCCTGTTCCATTTCAAAACTGTTTCAATGTAGATTAGTAATGCATTATATTAGGTTAAAGCAGTGCAAAGTTTGAGCAATGGCGAACGGTCAACTTGTCTTATAAATTATTTTTAAACACACAACAGAAAATGCACTCGTACATGTATATACTCAATCATCAATTAGTTCAGTTCATGTTATCAGTAGCAAGGAATTACTTATATGCATAACTGTAATGCTAACTAGCGTAAGAAGGTCTAGCAGCATTGCAGATCGAGATCAAAGCAAAATGACGCTACTAAGCTGTATGTAAGCATACCCCAATGAAAAAGATTAACGCAGTTGGATTTAAATTGATAAGGGGATAACAACACATCTGTCAGGATCCTATGCCGCCGTGAACATCCTGTCTCGTGCACTTGTTGTTCCCGCGCAAATGTGTCATGATTAATGACGGCAAGCTCCTGTTCACACCTCTCATCCTAGGCTACTGATTATCTTTGTTTACGTCCCCTTCTGACTCCGTGACCTTGAACTGCACCGTACTTCAGTACACCGGGAAACTCCACATATTACAACCATGTGTCAGGGAACCGCGGTACAGAGGCTGCACAGAAATGTCGAACCTCTTTGATAGCGACAAATTTGACTACATGCCTTTGTCACGCTGGAGGATTTCCAGATTTTAGTTTTTGTCGTTGCTTACGAAAAGTACACGGAATATATGCGTATATATATATATACCTTCCATGTGCAGTTTCGCTCGTACATAAGAAACGAGTATAAATAGCGAAGATGGTTTTCTCTTAGCTAGCTCTAACTGACCGGGAATGTATCCCTCACATGCATGCTCCCCTTCACCTTTTTCTCACAGACTGGTACCACGATTCATTTGATAGTCAGCTGGTCAGAGAATATTCATTGCTCTACCCTTTCAAAAACAGAAAACCGTTAATTTATTAGCTTCAAGCAGTGAACGCAAAAATGCTGAAACATTTTGCTACTTATAATTCGATGGAACACCAGAAAGCTAATCTGTTCCAAATATATATCCATGTTTATGCATTATAAAAATATTATACTTACAAATGCAACTGTTAAAAAATCCTCCAGTTTTCGGGCGGGCCTGTGGTTGAGTGCTGTACAATTATCTTTAGCTACACTCTAATACAGACATTCGGAAGCTTGGACAGAGGTCATTCACGCAGTGGTCAGTAACTAAACGCACATGCTGTTAGCATAGTTTGTTTATCAACAGATGGTCAAGACTCCCCGGACGGGTGAACGGACTGTTCGCTTTTGGCGATCTGTAACTGATAAGATGGTAAGTTGTTGTGTAGTGTACCCTCCCCACTGAGCTGACTCGGTGACTGGACTTCCCCATACACACCCCTCTTTGTATACACATCACACACACAACCTACCACACCTATACTTTATTATACAGAAAGGAGAATATTTATACGTGTGTGAAAGCCATACATGATTTGGTATTAATATCATTCATAAACTGTTACGTATTAACAAAGCATTTCACCTTTTCCGTTGATGCATACAGTTATAATCAATATTTATGTGTAAAGAGCGATGCTGGTTAATGCCATGCAAAAGTCATTAATTAACAGAGCATGCGTTGTCGCGATGCATTTTCGATTTGATGCTGATCTAAAGGAGTCTGTTGGTTTATGTTGTGTCATTACCAGATAACTTGGGGCAGTGATCATCTAGGTCCCGTGCTGTTCAAGACGTTTGTTTGCGGTGACTTTGATTTACCTTATAGTGTATTTATGCTTGATTTGAGTTTTCCTTATTTTTGTTTGTTATCTACTTGCGTTCACTTGCTGCAAACAATTAGTGTTTTGCTGAACATACGTATTTGTCTTCAAAATCATTCAAAACCTACGATGAAATCTCGCTAACACTGTGCTCAGCAAGTCAGATTATTTGCCTATTTTTTGTCTGTCCACAATGATTGTTGGCCTTAGTTTAGCTACTTTCCGTCTAGGCTGCTCCTTCGGCGATATGTTTCCTGCGACTGGCCATGTTCAGCTTTCTACAATGTTGTAATGATAATAATTCGAGGTTCTTATATACCGCTTTATCACAGCTTAGTTCGAAGGTCGTCTCAAAGCGGTTCACAAATTATTATCCGTGGTTATAGGGCCTTTGCAACGAGCCAATACCTTTTTCAACTCCCTGGGGTGCATACAGTCGGTGCTGCCATGTCAGCGCTAACAGCTAGCATTCAACAATTCTAGCACTGTCCAATCACGTACTCATTTACAGCTGAGTAGACTGGAACAAGCGGAGTAAACTATCTTGATCGAAGATACAACACAGTGCTGTGCCGTGACTCGAACCCGCAACCCTTCGGTCACGAGCCCGGCGAAATGGCAGCTGCGGCTGTATGCTCCCCATGGAGTTGAGAAAGATATTGGCTAGTTGCAAAGGCCCTATAACCACGGATAATAATTTGTGAACCGCTTTGAGACGACCTACGGAATTGGATGTGATAAAGCGGTATATAAGAATCTCGAATTATTATTATTATTATTTCATGTACTACTGTAGGTGGAGCAAATATATAGCTACACTGTACACATATGTACGTTCTTACCATGCAGGAAGTGCGCGTTCGTTACCATGGTCTAGTTAACCCTGATGTACTATAGGAAGTCCTTATATTACATACTTTTTTCTAGTCTAGACACCATAAACATTCAAAAATCTTTTTATTTAATCTTTGAAAAATATCATCGACCAAACTACTGGATACAGTATTTCATTAATCTTTGTCAATGTATGTCTGCAAACAACGAAACTTCATATTAGATGTCAAACATGAACGCCAATAGGATATGCTCCAGAGATGAGGCGCCGTCGGGGGACGATATATCGTATACTTAAAGTTGCAATTATTAAATAATTATTTTTTCTGTATGATCTTTGACGGATTTGACTGCATTTACTATAATTTTTTTTAGTTTACAATAGTTGTGAAACGTTGTTTCTCCAACTTAAATAAATCACTCTTATTGGCTCGAATGGAAACCCGCTGAGGGTCTTAATGAAAGAGGAAACCGGAGTACCCGGAGTAAACCTACAATGTACACGGTTTTGGGCGGGTTAACCCATACGTTTTCACGTCCAATCGGCGCAGCTGCGCTATCCACTGCGGCACTCGACATTTGCATTTATTCTTTAGATGTAACACAGGGTAAAACATTATTTTTTTTCACTCAATTGTAGGAAATTATTTGTACAAAGATGCTAAATGCATTACGAGCAATTTTACAGCATGATTGGTACCAGTGCGTTTTCGTCTACTTTATTTAGACCTCTCAATTATTACATTGTATTATTTCTAATTAATAAATTTAATTTCTGGAATGGTTTTGGTACACTGGCTGTTTCCTTTTTTAACAATCAACTATCCTCGCCCACCCTTCCTCCGACAACGTTATCCCTACTGCAGTAACAGACAGAAGTACATGCCAATAATTGATAAGTAGACTAAAAGATGGTATAATTAAAGTCGGTGTATCTATCAGAGCTATGTATCGGCGTGTAATCATTGCTGCCCATTGTCAATTACAAGTACTCTGGCGGGTACGTCGGTAGTCGTGATCGTTAATTATTAACTAGAAATGTGTCAAGGGCGTACATTACATCTGTTTCTTACAACGCCACTGGGTCGTACACCTTCTATATTACATACATCTATTTATATATAAAATCTGTGATGAAACATATCGAATGTTTTTTTTCCATCAATTTCTTTCTCATCCTTCCTTTCAATGTCCCTAATAATCATCAGATGTAAGCAACTAAACATTGGTTTGATTTCCCTTCGGAAATACACATCCTTGCTGGCCATTCCATACATCGACAAGATTGCTCACGATAGTAACGCCATATGTTTTCCCAATAAACAACGCGACCACCATCACCTAAATGTCAGAACGGCGAGGTTTCTGAGACTTTTTTTACAGCACTCCCTGGGGCCAAGTCACAACCATCGTGATCTACTGCCTTGGTGTGACTGTACGGATAACAACATATTCACATATACTGTGTTTCTTCTACACCACATAAAGATGAAATATATTTGCCATTTGTGATTCAAAAATGTCAACAATAAATAAAAGTGACGAATAATGACATATGTTAATGTTTTGAAAATGATTTATAGAATTTATTAGTTTGAGGAACTTGCGTCATCGTGAATAGTGGAACTGGAGTTGCATGTAAATTATATAAACGGGCGGGGTCGTTAAAGTGTGGTAAGCAACACGAAACGGGATACGGAACAAACAACGGGACAGATTTTTTTCTAGTAAAAACAAACAGTGACTTTATTTTTTGGCTTTATTTTCGATATTTGTCATACAGTTTCAAGATCATTTGTACTAAAGTGACAAGACGTACGCCTCCAATAATTATTACGAAACTTTCACGACGTCCCTAAATCATTGGTACGAAATTTACACGACGTCCCTAAATCATTGGTACGAAACTTACACGACGTCCCTAAATCATTGGTACGAAACTTACACGACGTCCCTAAATCATTGGTACGAAACTTACACGACGTGACGAATCATTTGTACGAAAATGACACGCTATTCTGAAACAAGATTGCCTGCAAAAGTTTTTTCTACTCTCCTCCAGACTTCGCTTGGAACATATATTAAGAGTTCAGGTTAGCAGAGAGAAATAGTTTATAGTCAGGTAATCTAGTGTAAATGACGTCCTCAGACTTGAGTCTGATGGAGACTTAAGGTCCTATATCAAAAAAAATCCGTTAGTATCTTTGATTATCAACATGAAAACAACTTATATGTAATAAATGTATCAGCCCCTCGATCTCATATATAGGGTTCGGGTTGGTGTAGAGTATGATATGGAAAACTAGGGAGACGAAAGGTACTCTAATAAATAATTCGAACATGAAATTGAAGGTGATAGATTTAATCAGAACTTCGAGAACTGTAACCAAAATTCCGTTAGATTACTCTGGGCGTCAACACAGACGTGAGGCTTAACGCATATTTACATTACCCGTCATAACTTCAACAAATATTTGAAACGCCTCTCTTACATGGATGACGTTGACGGTAAACGACCAATATCGGAAAGCGCTCCTAAAATAACCAGCCAAGGAGACTTGTGATGTTCGCACTTGACAATCTCGATAATGCAAAAATGGCTGTATACCTGTAACTGACATTTGTTTCGAGAATAAGTGGATACTGAGTAAAGAGATTACTTTGGCGTGGCTATAGGAGACTATTGAAAGAAAGGACAAATTATCTGTCTTTCCAACGAAGCCATGCATATCTTTCTGTACCTCCCAGACATGTTACTTTTACATGAAGGAAACCTGAGGTCTATTTTAGGCTTTGAGGGTCTGTCACCCTCTCTGTAAGTATTGAGTGTCAATTTAAACCTTTGGACTGTCTTATCATACGCCCTAAATACGAAGAGAGATTCATACACATATTCTCACGCCCCTGTGTTTTTACAACCATGGCACAAGAAGATCAGTAACAGACTCGAGGGGAAACGAGATGTTTACAATATGTAAGGTGACGGAAATTGGTCACTACCTTGATTTGTTATGACATGTGCTACGCGGGTTGTGTAGGACAGCTGCCAGGCGAACATCTTCTTCATTAATCTCCAACGCTCGGATGAAAAAAACAACGACAATTCCTTGTATATATTTTTTTATATTTTGTTTTTTATATTTCCAAACACTCTCTATGGAATGAATTTGCCGGGACATATTTAAGATATTATCATACCTTATCTATATAACTGCTTTTCTGATTGGATTAAATTGACCACATGACGGATTGAGAAAACTTCGTATCGTTCTCACGCGCTCGAATTTCCCCGGTAATATGAGCAACTACAGCCGAGTTCCGAGTGAGTGAACAGAAGACAACGATGGCGCGTTAATCATTCATTTAGTATATAATTAAAAAGTTACACATTGACGACCAGCGAGGTCTTTTAAAAGATTAGCCCAAAAGCGACAACTGAAAAAGAATATCATCTATTTAACCTCATGTAAACCGGCTTTCCGGGAATATCGATTCTTAATATAGCCTTCATGGGAATCCGTTAACATTACGTTGTTTGAGAATTAAATGTTTTAAAGGATTTTTACATGTTTAGTAAACGTTTTACATAAAAATATATTGTACAGCATTGGTTAGTATTAGTACAGTATTGGTCAGTATTGGTCAGTATTGTACAATATTGGTCAGTATTGTACAGTATTGGTCAGTATTATACAGTATTGTAC